TTATAATTAAGAAATGTAAAATAATTCACCTTTTTCCACCAGAACCTGCAACAACTCATTTTATTTCTGTAATATATCCAAAGCATTTATATACATCTTACTTTCACTGCAATTGCAAGAGGGGAGAATAGAAAATATTACTAATTTATAAATGAAGAAACTGAAGATGAAATAAAATAAGTTGTTTGTCTAAGGGGTAGAACTAGAAAAGTTGAATTTTCTTCATAAATCTGATGATTTTTCTCTCCATAAATTAGTCTTTTTTTTTTAATCTGGAAAACATGGCACACTGTATCTATTATAAAATGCATCTCAATTTCAGAAATGTTAAAATGTAAATCAACATGTCTCAGAATTGATAAAATTGGGGGGGGGGGTAGAAGTACCAGGGATTGAAATCAGGGTCACCCAACCACGGAGCCACATATTCAGGGTTATTTTATATTTTATTTAGAGACAGAGTCTCACTGAGTTGCTCAGTGCCTCGCTTTTGCTAAGGCTGACTTTGAACTCAGGATCCTCCTGCCTCAGCCTCCAGAGCCACTGGGATTACAGGCTTGTGCCACTGCGCCTGGCCTTAAATTAGTATAATTTTTGATGTTACATGAGAATTTTTTTCAAAATAATCAAAGATTTAGGGGGAGAAAGAGTCAAACTTGGAGTGATTTTAGAAGAATGAACACACAAAAAAAAAACTTCTGAAATTTCCTTTGTGATTTTAAGATCATGAGTTATTTGTTTTTTAGGTTCTTCTTTTGGGGTGGCAGAACTGAGGACTGAACCTACAGGCACTTTATTACTGAACTACATCCTCAGTCTTTTTAGTTGTTTTTATTTTGAGACAGGGTCTTGCTAAGATGCCTAGGCTGGGCCTTGAATTTGCCATTCTCCTGACTCAGCTTCCCTGAGCCACTAGGATTACAAATATGTGCCTCTGCAACTGGCTTATTCCTTACAGTCTTAATTAAAACCCATATATATTAACCCATTAGTATTTATATTTTTTTCACATACATTTTACATATATACTTCTTACAAATGTGTATGTGTGTGTATAGATATGTATGTATATGTGTGTGTGTGTGTGCTATACACACACATACATATATATGAACCATCCGTCAGTTCAACTCTTAAAGGTCCCAACACAGTAAACACATTTTTGGTCATACTTTCAATTTGGTTCCATTTAACAAAGTCAGCTACCCAACTACTTTTCTTTCTTTCATTTAAAAAAAAAAAATAGATCTTTATTCTCAGGTTAAGAAGTACAAGGAGTTGTACTATAAAACTTCAAAATATAGGGCAGTAGATGTAGTTCAATGGTAAAGCACTTGCCTAGCATGTGCAAGGCCCTGGGTTTGATCTCCATCCAACACCAGGAGAAAATAACAAAAAAACAACAACCAAAAAAAAAAAAAAAAAAAAACTTAAAATGTTACATATTTTAATACATTTCATATTTTCCCAATAAGTCACTATGTATATTTTTTAAAGTTCTTTTCTACTATTTGTCAAAATATTTCCAATCTAAAATATTCATATAAAAGCATACTATTAAAATAAATCATTTTCCCAAACATGTTTTATTTATATCCTAAATAATTTCAAAGAAATTACACACTAAATTCTATATTTTCCCAATTCAATCACACCTTTATTCCCCTCCCACAAAGACCTTCCCCATTCCTAAATTTCATGGCACCTAAACCCTTACACACTATTTCTTCAACTAGATGTTGTCTTTTCCAAATAAGCATTCATGTTTGTATGTATTTATTTCCCACAATTTTTAGTACAGTACACACAGTAGGCAAATGTTTATAGACTAAATATAGTTCTTGACCTCATATGCACAAGAGGTTTGGCCAACCTCAGTGGCACACACCTGTAAACCCCATGGCTCAGGAGGCTAAGACAGGAGAAGCATAAGTTCAAGGCCAGCTTCAGCAACTTAGTGAGACCCTGTCTCACAATAAAAAATAAAAAATGAGCTGAGGATGTAGCTCAGTGGTAAAGCACCTCTGAGTTAGATCCCTAGTAAACCATCCCTCAAAAAAGAGGCTTCATAAAAACATATTGATTTTAAAGCCCTGTTTGATTTGCTGCTGTGTTTCCAGTCAGGAAATAAAGCCTGTCATACAGTAGGCACTCACTCAAACAATATTTGCTGAATGAAGAAACTTTAATCATCTTTAAATATTGGAAGTTTTGAAGCAAGTCACTTTCCCTGACAACACCATGAAGATGGATTAAGAGACTATACTTATAAATTATTTACATATACCACAATAACTTATGGTTGTTCACTACTAGGGATCTCCTTTAATAATAATAACTAAGACAGAAAAAAAAACAATAAAAAAATCACCCATTAAACTTTCTCATAGTCATCAAGTATCCAAGACAAGTTTGGGGATGTTCCTTCCACCATGTTCTAGTGACATGTTTCTGGGCTAATCATGAATCTAGCACTAATCTCAGTTTCATCAGAAGCCTACCTGAGAATCCAGAGTCCAGTTGTAGAGTCCTTAGTTCCTCAGAAAAGCGCTTCCACACAAAGAATGATGCCCTAGATAGGTCATGGTCTTTACACCTGCCATTCCCATAAGCAATCCTGGTTTTACTAATTCTTTTAGAAATGACCTCAAACCTAATCCTGCAGCTTTGAACATATTTTAGAGGCAGAGACCAAGGTAGGATTAGAACCTACAAAAGATTCTTTTATTCATGTTTTATAAATAAATGCCTTCCAAGTGCCCCAAGTTCAACCCTACATCCACCCACCTCACATTTTTTTCATGTTAAAATGTTGAGAGAGAGACCAGAGCAGATACAGAATCTAAATAATAGCTATAGAATGTTTCCCACATCTATTTAAGACCTAGTTTAATTCTGCCTGTCATTCATCTCCAATTTAAACTGCCAAAGTTATTTTAGCCTATTCCCAAAAGCATAAGAAGTGGCCACTAATTCATTTTAAGAAATGTCCCTTTGTCTATCTAAAAAGTCTAAGATTTAAAAGGACGAACCATTTTTATATTCCCATGAATTTCCAATTAATTTTTTTTGGTACCAGGGTCCAATTAAGTTTTACCACACAGCTATTAAATAAACAGAATATGCTTTAGAGGAAAATATTTAGAATAGATATTTGTATTAATATATTCCTTTTTAAAACTTTCTATCTCCCTACTGTCCTGATATGCTATAAATACAACTAGAAATAATATATCTTAAAAAAGCAATAGAACTTGATTTAAAAATAACTTGCATGCATATATATGTGTATGTGTATGTTTATATATATATGTGTGTGTGTGTGTGTGTGTGTGTATAAACATTACATAGACTCCGTAGACATTCTACTGTGTACAAGTAGACACTGTAAGAATAAATGTCTGGTGAGTAGGGGGAAGCATCAATAGGAGGAAAAAACAAGTAAGAACACAAAATAGAATATGAAGTTCTAAGCAGACCATTCATGCTAATAAAAGAAAATACCTTAAGTGTTCATCAGCATTTATTTAACAAATAATAATAGGCATGCCTCAGGTGAAACAGGTAGATTTTGACAAAAAACTTGACATGTATCCACAATTACAAGCAGCTGAACCACCAGATGTTCTAGTTTTTTTTTTCCTCAAGTCAAGTAAGTACCATGTTGAGGAGATTCCTACTACCTAGCTAGAAAAGCAAATTCTATGTCTGTTTTTGCCCTGCCTTCCAAGCTTTGCCATCAAGTTCACGGGGGGAAAAATGGTAAAATGACCCAACCTCTATGTTGGTGACCACAAGACAGCCTCTCTATTCCAAGGACGTAACCTAAGCTTGCACAGATGCCTAGCTCTCTGCTAATGCAGGGGAGCTGGGTTTGTTTTCAGGGTGGGTGTTGCAAAGCACCAGGTGTATTTATAGAAAGGAGCAAGACTATGATGGAGGGATGATGACAGAAGAGGAAGTTTCACCCAGTAGAGAGAGCCTGTAGAAAGATCTGGATTCCACAGCATAGGTCTCTTTTCTGATTCACCACTTACCAGCTATGAAAACTTATTAAAACCTTTTTTGGTCTGTTACCTTGTGTATACAATTTAGACAACTCCCCTTACTTCGAATGATTGTCAGGAAGTCGAACAAATATCGTGTATGAAACCTAGGATACGATACGCATGCAATAAACGTCAACTTGTCATCCTCTTGTCCGTCCAGAATTGCGCCTCAAAAATCACAAAGATAGCTTGCAGCGTTAAAACTAAGAGGCCTAGGAGGGTTGGCAGAGAAGAAACGACTTGGGTGGAGGCTATCTTATTTACTGGAGGACTTCTCTTAAAATGGAGTTAGGATATTGATAAGCGGGGGAGGGGTGGGGAAGACATGGAAAAACCATCAAGTGGGAGCAAAACTGGCAATAACATTAACAAAAAGACAACCCTTTATGTAAGCACCAAACTTCGGAAGCTGCGCATATCCTCAGAACCTACTCGGTGGCCTCAATTCAAATTACAAGAACACGCAGAGCTAACCTAGAGGTACACCATCTGTACACCCCAGTCAGTTTCAGACCACGCCATTCAGCAAAACTGTCCTCAGACCCCGGGTGCTCTCCCGTCTCCAAACCCGTTCCATATGGGTTCGGAAGCTAGGAGCTAGCGGCAAAAGGAATCGGGATGAGAAAGTGGGGAGGTCTAGTTAAATGCCTGAAAAACAAGGCGGTGGGTGAGGGGGCGGGGTGGAGCACTGTGGCAGAAACGCGGCCAGCTAGCCTGAAAGACCGCGGCTTCACAATGAGCCAAAGGAAGAGACTGCGACATGCGCCGGCTCCAGGTCCGGATCAGGGACTGATGGTTAGGCCGGGGGCGCGCAGAGCGTGGGAAGACGGGAAGTGGGGGCGGGGGGGAGGGGGCCTGGCTGGGACGAAGCGAACGAGTCTATGGCCAGACAGGGAAGACAAGAGGCGCCCCAGCAGGTGCAAAGCACCCAGGCCGGCTCCGGATACTTACCGTGTAGAGCAGGTTGAGGGCGCACAGGCAGTTCTTGGAACACGCGAAGCCCCCGCAAACCATCTTGGAGCCTGTGTTTGCCGGCAGCTTCAGGTAAATGCCACTCTGGCGGGGCCTTCCGGGGAAGCTGCTTTGTCCTTGCCTTGAGGGCCTGGCCGAGGCTACAYGGCAGCGCCAACGCGGGCTGGGGGCTAGGGACTGGCGCTGCAGTGCCCGGCACGCCCGCGGCTGCACAGACCCGCGGTGGAACCTGCGGCCGCCGCAGCTCCAGCGGGAGCCGGAGTCCCGCCCAGCTCCCCCGCCTCGCCCCGCGCTCTGATTGGCTGCTGGCTGGGAACAAAGGTAGAAATATGCAAATAAATGCGCTGTGCCAGCCGGGATCCGGGAGGGGAGGGGCGGTCCTGGGCTAGGAAGAGAGGGGCGGGGGCCGTTGGGGAGGGAGTCGGAGGCCAGAGCTTGTGGCCTCCATGTCATTTCCCCCGGAGCAGGTGAGGAGCCGAGGGTGGGGCTCCGAGAGATCCACGCTGGCAGGGAGAAATATGACAGCGCCTTTCGATTCTTGGACCCGGCGGATGACGTGGCACCATTTTGAATGAGATTTTAAAATTAAGCACCTGGCCTTGTTTGAATGAAAGAATGAACGCAAGAATGTGAACGATTTAAAAGAAGGGATGAAAAGGGGACAAATGAGAGGAACAAAATAAGTGAAAGAATAAAAGGAAGAAGTAAAATCTTTTTTCTTTCAGAAAATAGGTAAGAAACGTGGCCTATAATTATGAGCAGTGTCAAGTCAGAAAGACTTACTCTATAGGGATTTGCAAAATACTAATAAAGTATGAATACATGAATGCAAAAGAAAATCAAGAGTGATTATTTTTATGGTCATTTCCTGAATTTCAGTAAGTTTTATTTTTGTTTTTCACGAATAGGAACTGTGAAAACCTTTAAATAAGTTTTCACCTCAGTTAATTATCACTTCATTACATGTCTACTTATAGAGATGCATCTTGAATCCTCAATTTCTCACCTGTAATCCAGATATTAAAAGTGTATCAAGCTGCTGAAGTTTGGGGGGTGGGTGATTGGTTGTCTGTTTTTGTTTTTGGTTTGGTTTGGTTTGGTTTAGTTTGTTTAAGACAATGTCTTGCTAAGTTGCTCAGGCTGGCCTTGAACTTACTTTCCTCCTTCCTTAACCTCTTAGCCTCCCAGGCCCAGGCCACCACAACCAGCCAGATCTGACAGTTTTAAACACTGTTTTCCAGGAATGAAACTAAACCAATAAAAGTTCAGTTATTTTGTAGTACCTTTTGCCTAACAGAGGCTTTTATAAAGAGATTTTTGAATTTATAACACTTATATGGAACCTACAGTTTTATATAGAGTGGGTTATATGAATGAAAATGCTAAATATGTTCAAATATTGATTTATGCCAGGTGGGCATGGTTGTGCACATCTGTAATCCCAGCAACTCAAGAGGCTGAGGCAGAAAGATGGCAAATTTAAAGTCAGCCTTAGCAATTTAGCAAGACCCTGTCTCAAAATAAAAAGGGCTAAGATGTGGCTAGGTTGTTACTCATTCAAGCAATGGTTTAAAAACCAAAAAAAGAAAAGAAAAAGAAAACATTGATTTAAACAAGTTAATGAAATATAATGTCTTCTTCTAGCCTCTTGTTACCTCCCCCATTATCACCACACCAAGGTCTCATTGATTCTTTACTTTTTGTGACCTTTAATGTATACATAGAAATATCCCAAAAATTAATCTGTAAAATAATCCGCAAATCTAAACAGTACATTATTACTCAGCTTTCCTCTTTAGAAGCCAAAGGTTACTAAAGAAGAAATGTTGGCAGGAAATCTATTCATCCTTTTCCTCTCCTTGGTGTCATGTACATTATACCAATGGCAACCCTCTCTGCCTTCTTTGTAGTACCCTTCACTGTCTCCCTGTGGGTTGAATCACTTTCTTTTTCTTAGAGAAGTACCACCTATGGGTCCAGAGCCCACCAGGAAGTAGATGGTACATTCAAATAATTGTTTAATAAAGGGAACATTTTCTAAGTGTGGACATGTTGAAGGAAGCCAACAAAGTATGATGACGTAGCCCAGGGCCAGTAAGAACAGAAACTTATAATTACCCCTAAGACTGAGGGATAATTTAAGGAAGCAGTTACAGAAGCCAGACAAGAGCTGTAATTGTAGAAATCATCTGCAAGGAGTTATGGCCTTTGAGGAATTAATCAAATAGCAAAATAATAATAATAATAAAAGCTATGATGGAATTTCTCTTTCCACTTTGGGTGTAGGCATTTTTTTTCAAAAGAATATTTGTTCCCACTTTAATAACAGCAAGTTAGATGAGCTATAAAAATCATAGTTATTTTATTGATATCTAGCTTTTCCCTCTCAGCATTTCATTTCTAACCAAATATATGTAAAAACAAAATAAATTTTGCCCACGTGCTTTTCTCATGTTACATTTTAGGAATGAAATTTTTCAAAAACAATGAGGAGAGAAAACCTTTGAAGAAAATCAACCAAAAAAAGTTCTTCCTGAGCTATAAAGAAAAAGATACATTTTTTAATATTAAAAGAAATGTATGAATGAAAAAGAAATTAATTAGGCTGTTTCTCCTTTGTGAAAAATTTATCCTTTGTGTAAAGTTGTTGATTTTTGTTTGTTTGTTTTTATAACCAAGACTTCTTGAAAATAGAGAAAGCAGGTGTGAGGAAAAAACAAACAAACAATCAAAACTGTGAAACTAAAGACATCTAAAGGAACTAGAATCCAGGAAGTAATGAGCTATTCTCAGGAAGAAAAAAAATCTCTATTGTTTCCATCCCTTGTAGATTATCTAAGAAGGAAGATAATACCATAGAGAAGGATCAGAAGAAACTAGTGGAACATATGACCACCTTTTAACGCTCAAATATGTAGAATCATGTATCAAAATATAATCCAAGGAGCCCTGGCCACAGAGTGAGTCTGTAACTACTTGCCAGCTCTACCCCAAGACCCTTCACTTGGAACAGGGTTTATAAGCCCCAAAGGCTGGGGTCAGGCTGGAGTACTGAGAGACGTTCTCCCTCCCCTACTACCTTAAGGAATACAGGCCTTCCCCAGTACAAAAGGGTGGCTAAAATCTGGGGAAAGGGCAGGAAGAATTTAAAACCCCAACAAAGCAATCGGGTATTTACCTAATCCAAGACTGAAATAGTAGCAAAAAAGGAAAACTACTCTATGCAAGAATCCCTCAATGGCTGATATAGAACAACAAGGTAGGGAGAGATTTCCCAAGGTACTGAAGGCCAAGGACATGACTGGAGAGCAAAGAAGAGTCTCCAGTAAATAAGCAACAGGACACGAAAGCACAGATAACTCCCAAGGCCAGAAATACATCCTGGTAGCCAGGACATAAAGCTCAAAGTGACTGGTGTACCGACCTTCTTCCTATACCAGTCTTAATCACACCTTCAGAAACATTTGGCACTAATGATGGACCCAACCTACAAAACCCATAACAAATCCTGACCCAGCTCAACTTAAGTGTATGCTGACTGAGGTCCCCACACTAGCAGCCTAACAAAATAAGGGGTGTACCACTTTCTGGGAGTAAATGTTGACTTTGGTCTCTATCTTTTATACACACTCTCTGAAACACAATAGAAAATTCTGAAAGACTTGGATGATCAAAAAAGTTTGATTCAGAACTAAAAGGAGAATTTTGAACAAGTTAGGAGATTGCTGAATTATCTCCTCCTCTCCCTACTCCCCCTGCTCTCCTCCTTCTCATTTTCATTGTCCTTCTCCCCTACACCCTTCTTCCTTCCCCTCCTTCTTCCCCTCTTGTTTCCCTCCTCTTCCTTCTTCCTCTTTCAGTATGTTTCTGAGCCAGGACAAAAGAAAATCCTTGTGCAAGAGTCCAGATCTTCTGAGAGCCAGATGCCAAGATGGGGTGAAATGTGTAAGAGATTTATTAGGAGAAATACCTACAAGGGGACACAAGGAGAGAGCTATAGGAGGCTGGGCAGGCTGAATGGCCTCAATGCAAGTTTTGGTAACTGTGAAGAAGCAAAGAAAGGAAGGAAAGAAAAGAAAAAAAGGGATTAAGAGAGGAAGGAGTGAAAAAAAAGAGGGAGAGGGGAAAGGAAGAGTCTCAGATGGTGATGCAGTTTTAAGATTTGGCCAAAGCTGCTCTGGTTTGGATATGGTTAGTGTCACCTTAATACCTCATGTGTTGAAATTTAATTTCAACCGTGAGGTATTAAGAGGGTAGAAACTTAATCTAACTGTGGTGTTTGGTGATGGCACCTTTAGAAGGTGATTAATCTTAGATAAGCTCATTGAGGTAAAGCCCCCCCTGGTTGAATCCTAGTGAGTTTATAAAAAGAGGGACAGAAAGCCAAGCCAGACATGGTGATAAATGCCTATAATCCCAGCAATTTAGGAGGCTGAGGCAGGAGGATGATATGTTTGAGGCCAGCCTGGGCAACTTAGTGAGACTGCCTCAAAATAAAAGAGGCTGGGGGTATAGCTCAGTGGTAAAGAATATCTGAGGCCAGTCCCCAGTAACACCAAAAAAAAAAAAAAATAGAGGGGAAGAGATGATGAAACAGGTGCACATGTTCATGTCCAGTCTCTTGACATATGATACCCTGTGCTTCCTCAGGACTCTGCCAACAAGAAGTCTATGACTAGATGTGTTATAGTTAAAGCTTCGTCCCAGGGTTTCATGAACTGACTTCCAGACCACTCATGTATAATCGAATCAAACCTTTATTGAAGCACACCGGTGGTGGCTGACCAGAACATAAAGCTGTTCCCCTGATCAGCCCCGAACAATTGCAAGGGCACTCCTTATAAGCCTGAAAACCACAAAAGGGATGTTGGGGGGGGGGGAGTCCAGCCAACGCAAGCAAGCCAGGTTACAGAAGTGGGACAGTGCAGTCAAGCGGAGGGAAGCCTAACCAATGACAGTTAGCCCAGTCACCCCAGTTACAGAAACAGAGCCCCGTTACCCTAGTTACAGAAACAATACCCCATTAGATAGTTTTGTGTTCTTAAAGGTTTCTATAGTAAAAGGAAAAGAACATCTTGCCCCAGTCATGACTCTTCTACTTGGCATGGTTGTTTTACAGGATCAAGTCATAAAACAAAATGGAGTCACATTTGCTCCTACTATCACAGATGCAGCCCCTCCACCTTGCTCGTCCAGAACTAGGAGCCAAAATAAACTTCTTTTTTGTTAAAATGTACTCAGTCTGTGTATTGTGCTATTGACA